CCGATTTAATTCTAACATTAGTATTAGAAATATATACAAAAATGTTACACATATCATATCCTAACTCTGAATTATATACATAATTTATTATGTGATAAATTGTATAAAGTTATATTATAATTGACATAGAACTATATAGTTTATGAGGACAAAAAAAAGATGACAAAAAGAAATATATAGTTTACATATATGCATTTATAGGATATACATTTTATAATATTATAAATTGTATAAAATCATATTTGAGCAGAAAGTTAATAAAATGTATAAAACCATTTAAGACAAGTAACTGATGGCAAATAAGGTAATCATCGTATCAACTTGCGCAAGTAATTGATAATAAAATAAGGCAAGTTATTAATAAACGAATTAACTAATTAAAAGCCTTTACCAACAAGGTATATCTTTCCTAATACCATAATATGGTTATAAAATTAAAGAATAATAAATAATTTTGATTTTGATATATTGTAAATCTATAGAAATATATAATAATNAGGCAAGTTATTAATAAACGAATTAACTAATTAAAAGCCTTTACCAACAAGGTATATCTTTCCTAATACCATAATATGGTTATAAAATTAAAGAATAATAAATAATTTTGATTTTGATATATTGTAAATCTATAGAAATATATAATAATTATGTTTTATCACTTATATTTATTATAGAAATTTGTATTTAACCGATTTATTCTAACATTAGTATTAGAAATTTATACAAAAATGTTACACATATCATATCCTAACTCTAAATTATATACATAATTTATTATGTGATAAATTGTATAAAGTTATATTATAATTGACATAGAACTATATAGTTTATGATGACAAAAAAAAGATGACAAAAAAAAATATAGTTTACATATATGAATTTATAGGATATACATATTATAATATGATAAATTGTATAAAATCATATTTGAGCAGAAAGTTAATAAAATGTATAAAACCATTTAAGACAAGTAACTGATGGCAAATAAGGTAATCATCGTATCAACTTGCGCAAGTAATTGATAATAAAATAAGGCAAGTTATTAATAAACGAATTAACTAATTAAAAGCCTTTACCAACAAGGTATATCTTTCCTAATACCATAATATGGTTATAAAATTAAAGAATAATAAATAGTTTTGATTTTGATATATTGTAAATATATAGAAATATATAATAATTATGTTTTATCACTTATATTTATTATAGAAATTTGTATTTAACCGATTTAATTCTAACATTAGTATTAGAAATATATACAAAAATGTTACACATATGGTTATCTTTGATATGCATATGATATGATTTTAACTTGCGCAAGTAATCAATATTAGTAAGGTAAGTTAATAAAAATAAGTTTC